CCCTTTTTGCTATTGTCTTTCCTTGAAAATCCAGGTAAGACAATAGGGAAAATGGGGATATGTATATATGTATATATATCTTAAACACGTCATAGTTTTAGGGATTCGGTGTGTATATATATATATTCTTTATTATATGTCTTGTATTTTATCCTTTGTTAGGAGCATAGAGACCTTATGTGTTATGCGTCTTTAAGAAATAAATTGTTACTATTTTTATTATTATTATTATTATATAATATTATTATTATATTATTATTATATTATTATATTATTATATATTGATATCCATACCATATGATATCCATACATACCGAATATGCATGTCATTACATACACCTGGAAATAAAGTTTCTCACAGATAATTATTTGTATATATTCCAGCACCATCAGGATCAAAAGGTTGAGTGAAAAAAGAGCAAGAAACTAACCGGTAGGAGCTGGTTTAGCAATATCAGTATCAGTATTTTTGGCCAGCCCAGTTCAGTTAAACAAATTAGATAGTTTAAATTAAAATTTGCTTCGAAGTTTGAATACAGCACTTTTTTTTACTACCATGGTGCATGCGCAGATTATATTATATGGACTGTAAAAGGTAAAGCGATTTTCGCACTAAACCTTACTTAGCTTAAAAACGTAAAGAAAAGCGCATGCAATGTATTATAGCAAATATAACTCTTTTTGTTTTCTTGATTTTGATTTTATATGCCTTCAGCTTTCAAATGAAAAGCAAATCAACTCAATCGGATAAGAGTTTAGGTGCTACAAATTAAAATGCTCAAAATCGCTGTCGGTATTTAGGTAGCCTGGAGTAGGTAGGCTTGGCAAAAAAATTCCCGGTTGAGGGCAAGTTAAGTTTCCAACGTTAACATAAAAAGCCTGGTGATTTGCACTTAATAAATAAATGTTTGTAATAGTAACAAAATTTTGTCATTATTATAACAATAATGACAAAATTACAAAAACGTAGATACAAAAAATCATAATACAATAGATACGAGACGAACATTATATTATGTTGTATATGAGTAGAGTTGTTTGTTGGTTCTCTCCTGTGCTTCGAGGGTTTTCCGGGTTCTCCGGTTTTCCTCCCTCCGCAAAAATCAACTCCTAAATTCCAATTCGATCATGGAATGAGGGCCACAGGTTTGTTAGCCACCGGCTATTAAGTGCTACCCTCGTGAAAAAAGGACGATTTTTTTTTTAAAAATTATAAAAAGTTGCCCTTCTTCTTTACTTCCTTGTTTTGTTTTGTTTTGTTTGTTTTTTGTTTTGTTTTTTGTTTTTTGTTTGGTTGGTTGGTTGGTTGGTTTTCTTTTTTCTTTCCGTTTTGTTGTTGTTGTTGTTGTGTGTTTTTTGTTTTTGTTTCTTTTTTTTGGAGACTTTCCGTATAAACAAAAACGAAAATCGAACTATATATTATTGTAATTAGTCGCAATTGCGCAATCCCTTTCTTGTTCTTTTGCAACCATCTCAGCTGGGAGTCACACCCAGTCCTCAAAACCACATATTTTAAAGAGATGAACATCTAGAAAAAAATTTGTAGTCCGCGTGCATTAACACACCACTGAGTTTATTTGGTTGCAAAAGAAAAATAAGAGACCCAAGATAACAACCAGATCCTCACCAAAGCTAAACAATGCACCGATCATGTTTTAATGTAAAACGTTTTCTAATAAACACTAGAGCTAGAAAGAATGACTTTTGGCCGAACGGTTATTCGTAATAATCGTCATCAGAAGCCAGTTTCCTGAATGGATTCTTCCTAATACTTGTACCGAGTGGAAGAATGTTAACCGGAATCAGTCATGCTGGTTTCAATGGCAATTACTTCCCCGCTACGCCACGTGGAGGCTACCGTTCATCGTAGCGGATTTTCCCACTCTGTATAAACCAACAGAGGGGTGTCCAATTGGGGTGTTGTGAAGCCGACAAATCACAAGCAAGCCTTAGAAGAATTCAGGCAAGGTAGTATAGACTGCCTTAAGAAGCAAACACTAAGTTTTCAGGGGATCATCACCATTAGCTGAATACAAGCGGTACCAACTAACAGCGGCAAGGTAGGGGTTACTCCACAACTAACACTCAAAGGCGCACACACACTCGTCGCACGCGCAATCGCAAAGCTTTATTTGTTTCTTTATTTCGTCATTTCTTTGTTCGCAACTGTCTGCCTGATTACAATCATTCTAAACTGTCTAAACCACAAGAACACATGCTGCCGAAACCGAAATAAAACCAAAAAGACCTACTGAAGAAACATAAAGTATCGGAAGTAAAGATCGAAGAAAAAAGTAACTTAAACCTCATGTGTTAATCGAATGGATATATCAGGAAAATATCCAGATAAAACGTCAAAGCAAAGTATCGGAGAAGAAAAAAAGATGTAAAATGATCGAAAGTAAAACATAGCGTGAAAAGTAAAAATATGCCTTATATAAAAAATGCCGGGCCGAAAAAATSCTAAAAAGCCAATTGTTTAAATGGATGCCGAATAAGAAGATAGTACATATTAAGGTTTAAAGACTCACGGTTTTCTGACCACAACAACATCACCTTACAGACTCGATGACCAGTCTTCATTTCCAAGGACAAACGTAGGGTCTTGTAACCATAATTGATCTGGAACCATAAAGGTGAGTATATTTTTCCATGACGAAGAGATACCAAGGCGTGGTCTGAAGCTAAGGCCCTATAATGAAATAACCCTCTATTTAAAATAATGAACTTGATTAATACGGATATTTATGCCTAGAGTGCAAACGCCAATTATATGAAACAGTATCAGTATCAAATTCATTTTGCACTAAATATTACAAAATGTCGGTTGTACATGTTGTTTCAGTTTATGATTAAATAAGCTATTTGTTACTAGATAATGCTAGATATATAGTAAAGTTTCATGAATTTACTGAGTTTTCGAACTCAACGACGTAAGAAAAGACTTAAAAAATAGATTGAAAATGTCCTTACATGTTAAAGAAATCCACTCCAGAGTCTGCAGGAGATGTCCAAGTCCTGTGTACTCTGCTTTAACCCTGAATAAAGAAGAAAACATGTGTTATTTAGTTGTATAATGACTATAATATTATCAACAAGATGGTATAATCAATAAAGTACTATGAACTTATGAGTTTAGCTAGACTTACATTGAATACTTTATCCTCAAACGACAAGTAGACACTTGAACTTACACACTAAATAATCAGTAAATAATCGTCAGTAAAGAAAAGAAAGAAGCAAAATGAGTGAACGTATATATTTCATCTTGATTGTTGTACTTGTCAGTATTTGAATTCACTTGCAAAGTTAATATATCAGCTGTTCATGATGCTGGGTTTACATTCCAGTTGTCATGGAAATCATATCTTTATTTCAAGGAATATTTCTGCATCTGTATCTAGAATGGTTTGAATCCCTAACTAATAAATCGTTTCAAACCTTTCCACACGTCTCTTCCAATCTACAATTATACTGAAAATACATGTCAGTAAATATTTAAATGATCTTTACACACCAGACAGCATCATATAATCATTCAATTAAATGTAACATAAATGTGAAATGAGTAAGTCAAATATAGGTTTGGTGTTGTCGTTTTGTCATTGTTTTGTGTTGATTGTTTTTAATATTTAAGTTTAACAAAGATTACAATAAGAATTATTTATAATAGTTTTTGATGGAAGTTTAACTTTTAATTTAAGTGCAACCCAAACCTCGTTTACACAGTTATTGTTATATCTTCCTGAAAAAAAATTAATAAAATTCAGTTGTTTTCCTTTAAAAATCTGTCATTCCCATTCGCACTCCAAAAAACGATGATCTCCTTCCTTCTCCCAAAAAAAAATTATTATACGTTATAATCCCATTCCTTTTTTCAAAAAATAAAAAAAATTCTCATTCATTCTCCAGGAAAAAAAGATGTGTTTTAACATGGGTTTGAATCCCATTCGTTCTCCAGAAATAAAAGATGTGTTTTAACATGGGTTTGAATCCCATTCGTTCTCCAAAA